TCATGGTGTTTAAATCTCCTGTGGTGGGAGGGGGGGTGGAACCCGGGGCCACTGCTCTGAGAATCAGACGCCAAGATCAGCTTCCCAAGCATTGCACTTCAGAATTTCCCAGGATTCAGCAAACGTGAAGGAATCCCCTTCCTCTCCTTTCTCTCTCCTCCTCACTTTCCTCCCCCCTCGCCTCCCTTTTCTTCTCTTTCCCTGCAGTCTCTGCCAATCTTTATAGACAGTGACTGTTCAATTTGGGTAGAAGATACGGAAGTGACGTCAGATCTTTGGTGGGAAACGAGGGCTTAAGGAGCACCTGCTTACTCTTTCAGCCATGTCCACACATAGTTACAGGTCATAATGCTACATTCATACACTTTTAAAAATCTTGATTAATATGCCAATGTCCACAGCAGCACTATTCACAATAGCCCAAAGGTAGAAGCAACTCAGATGTCCATCAACAGATGAATGCACAAACGAAATGTGCTATTACTATATTCAGTGGAATCGCTCAACCTTAAAAAGGAATGAAATTCTGACACGTGCTCCAACATGGATGGACCTTGAGGATATTATGCTAAGTGAGATAAGCTGGACACAAAAGCACACGTATTATATGACTCCACTTATACGAGGTCATTGGAATAGTCCGATTCATAGAGACAGAAAGGAGAGGAATGGTTGTCGGGCTGGGGGAAAGGAGAATGAGGAGTTATTGTGGAACAACTGTGGAGTTTCAGTTTGGGATGATCGATGGTGGTGATGGTTGTATGACAATATGAATGTCCTAAACTGTATATTTAAAAATAATTAAAATGGTAAATTTTATGTTGTGGATATTTTACCACAATAAAAATATCTCATTCAATATCATGTAAATATGGAAAAAAAAAAGTTCATGGATGCTGGCATCCTATTTGGTGTTGACAGATTCAGTGCTTAAGCAGTAAGATTGGTTCACCTTCTTTTGTATAAGATTTGCAGTTGTGAGTGAACTGGGACTCTCTTAACGTTACTGCCTTGTCATGGTCTAGCAGCTGTTGTTCACAGAGCATCTTTGTTCCCAAAGAAACCCAAACACCTACGAACACTGTGTTCAAATGGAAGACTGTCAGCTGTAGGTGAGGAGCCTGAGTTCTGGTTTCTATTCTGTCTTGATCAAGTCTCTCTCTTCACCTACCTGGATCTCATCTTAGTTCATAAGAATTCAAGTCATGGGCTCTGTGATCACAGAGAGCCCACAGATTGGCAGTGACTGCCAGCTGTGTCCGGACTGCCATCTGTCATAGCTGGTGCTGCTCTGGACTAGCAGCTCCCCCTCCTGCATCAGTTTCCTTGTAGAGACCGACTAGAGATGTGGAGAGCGGCAGCCGGGGCCCCAAGCCCAGTGGTAGAGGAGTGTGGGCAGGAAGAATTGAATGCAGACTTGAAATGGGTCCAGGAGCTTAGGATCTGCAAACCTACATTGTTTTTGAAGGATTTTTTTAATGTGAAAGGACAAATGATATTACCTGTTAAGGTCTTCTGCACTACACTGTTTGCCTAACCTCAATCTGACCTCATTTATAAAATAGTTTAGCATAAAGCCCGAGGGATGATAGTAACAAAAAAATAGGAGCCCTGGCCGGGTGGCTCAGTTGGTTGGAGTGTCGTCTCGTACACCAAAAGGTTGCAGGTTCAGTTCCTGGTCAGGGCACATACCTAGGTTGTGGGTTTGATCCCTGGTCAGGGCGCATAAGGGAGGCAACTAATCGATATTTCTCTCTCACATCTATGCCTCTCTCTCTCCCCCCCCTCCATTCCCCTCTCTCTAAAATCAATAAAACTTTTTTTTTTTTTTTTAAATAGGAAAGATGGGAATTTTGTGAGAAGCACTGATGAGTTTGGTTTTATTTGTGTTGAGTTTGCAGAGACAGTGGGATAGTCAAGTAGTAGGGTCCAGTGTATAGCTGGAGATGTAGGCACATGGCTAGAAGAAGAAAGTATAATTTAGGAGTCCAATAGACAGTTATTAAAAGTGACTATTAAAGCCAGAAAAGTAGCCTCAGGCCTTTGGAAAGACAACCACAGGAGTCCGTGAAGAGTTGAGGGAAAACACCAAAAGCTGGTCTCTTTGGGCTGATTAGAAGCTTCTGATGAGATGATTGGAATCCGAACCTCTCTGCTAATAACAATAATATCAATGATGACAACAAAGCCAGGACAGAAATGTACAAACAAGAGTTACAACATCTTAGCCGTGCTCCCTTCTGTCCATGAGGCCCCAGGAGCTTGTGCTGCTTGGACCTCAAAATCCAAAGGGACCATTTTTCTGGCCTCTCTATGTCATGTCTGTGATTCTTGTCCACGTTTATGAAAACCGTTCCTCAGAGACCAGTGTTGTTCTAAATTTCCCAAGTGGGCCTCTCTCGCTCTTCTTCTAGAGTTTGCTTTTACCACATATGCTTGCATTTGACCTCAGATCTTGGTTAAATTAAAATGACTGTTAAAGGACTGTATCAACAACCTGCCAGTTAGAATTTTAAAATCTGGGGGATTTTAGAGGTCTTTGTACATCTCTTTTCATGATCAAGGGGCTGCTCTGTGTTCTCAGCATCACAGGAGAAGGTTCCCACACAGCAAGCTCCGTTTCTTCCATTGGAGCACATGGAGTCTGTGGGCAGGATGCAGCATTGAGGCTCAGAGGCCCCTCGCTGCTTGGCTCACTCATAAAGAAAGGGGGAGGGTGGGCCTGCTTTGTAATCAATTGTGAAAGATTTTTAAATGTCAAGAATAAAGAAGCCCAGGTGAACTGTGTTGAGGTACAGTTTGTGATCAGTTACCCCTTCACCTCCTAGTCGTGTAATTCGTAGTTCCCAGCTGGTTCAGGACAGTGACTCCACTGCCCTCTTTGTTCATGAGGACATAGCTTCACCCTGGCATCTCCACACATGGACTCTTCGGTTTCAATTCCAGCCCTGCCTCAAACTCTGCAACTTTGGGCAATGTTTCTACCCACTCTTTGCCTCAGCTTCCCCTTTAGAGGATAGGAAATAAACTATGTTGTAGGGTTGTTTGGAGCCAGAACTGGGTAACCATGAACACCAAAAATTTTAAATTAACCAAATTGACAAGGATCTAATGCTGAGTGGCATTATGTAAACAGAATTATTTAGAAGAGATTGTTCATTCTTGTAACTAATAAACCAATAGCCACTCTCCTCCACTGTTTCTTCTCAGAGCTTTAAATTAGGACAAAAACCAAATATAAGGAGAAAAAGGCACAAATATTTTTGGTCACTTTGCAAAGAGCAATGGCCATATCAACAAGTGTGCTCTGATGTGTGGAAACTTAATAAATATCAAAAAATGATTTAATTACTTCCACTGATGGCTGTGATAAAGTAGCTTGGAGCAAATCAATGCTCCCACCAAGAACAACTGGAATATGGATAGAATACTAAAGACATCTGTTTGAAAGCACCAGATTGCTGCTGAGGCACCAGACTTGAGCAATGATATATTTCATTTTCCTCCATGTTCATAGTCACATCCTAAAATAATGCCTCGTATCTCATGAAGTGGGTTGCTGCTCGGTGGCACCTTGTGTTCATTAGCCAAAGACTTACCCATTATTCTAGCTACTTAGCATCTTGAGCCCTTCCATAGTCCATCCCACTGGCATTTCCGTCCTGTCTTCCTCTCCCACTGACCCACCCGTACCCCTGTCACTCACGGGGGCGAATGCTTTAAGATCTTGCACCAGTTTAAGGCACTTCTGCTTGCTAGCATGGGATTGTTCTCACTAGATCTGAATTCAGTCTCTCACTCTCCTTCTGTCTAGATGACTTTAGAGTTTCATCTGCAACAAGATGTTGGTGATGAGACGATGAAAGTAAAGCTCAGCACAGTGTTTTCATCAAAGTAAGGGATGGTCGTTGTTATTGTTGCTGTTATTATTACTGCCTAAGATTACATAGCCAGGAGGCCCAATCCAGGTCTTTTGTTTCTTAACCTCACATGCTTTTTCACCATGCTGCCTGTAATTTGGCAAACTAGATTTGGTACTAAGTCGGCCCAACTAGGTCTACACTTGGTTTGGACCCGGCCTACTGCATTTGGCACTCGGTCACTGATAAAACCTCCAGGTGGGCTCCTTTCTAGGGAGGAGACAGGGGAAGTGGCACTCTGTCACCCTGGGGGTGACCCGAGTGCCTGGCGTCATGGAAGGGTGCCTGCCTTGCCTCGAGGAGGGTGTGCGATTCTACGTGCAGCCTGGATGTGGATTCCTTCCCAGAAATAAGTTTGTTTCCAAGATCAAGTAGGAGCAGTTGCCTTCCGCTGCTTCCCCTTCCTGCAGTTCGCCCTGCCTGTACCTCCGTGTCAGCTACAAGCCCGGACTTCTCGAAGTCCAAGCCTTCCGCTGAAGTGTTTATTGTGGGCTGCCTTCCGCCTGTAAGCGGATCAGTGTGCATGAGCCCATCAGAATTGCCTTAACCCACATTCCTCTCCCCTTTCTCTGAATTCCTAGGCAGTCGAGAGAGAGAGATTCTTTATTCCTATGCTCCCTATCAGCAATTCTAGTCCGCATTTTGGATGGATAGAGTGTTCTTCCAATTTGATTGTAATCTGAAAGAAAGAAACTCTTGCCTCTTAGTTCTAGGTCTGAATGTTACTTAAAAAGTGCTGGTTGACAAGACCTGCTGGGGTAGAACCAAGACCGACAGCTCACCAGGGGAAAAGCCCCTCCAGTTAAGGTTGCTGCAGTGCCTCTGTGGGGTCCTCTGCAAGTAAAGAGCTGCCTGAGTTCCCCGTGAGCAGCCCGGGGACGCTGTTGTGTTGGAGGCGTCTCCGTTATTCCTGTGGGACCTTCCGTCTACCCAGCTACTTGGCTGACCCACAGCAGAAAGGACACTGCACTGGGCGAGACGGGATGAGGGTGGAGTCCCCAAATCAGGAGGGACAGGGAACTAATTGCCAGAAGAAATTTTATCATCCTAATAAAATGAAGCACATGATTTGCATTCCAGGTCCTTCAACTATTCTATGGGAAGCCGGGCGTTTTCCCATGACAGTATTTTTATCCCTGATGGGGGAGCAGAAAGTGAGCAGACAGTTCAAGCAATGTCACAGGACAACATCCTGGGCAAAGTCAAAACTCTTCAGGTAAGACAGCTTGAGATTGAAGGTTAGAGGTGCAGGAGGGGGCCTGACTATGGAGGGAATTGGGGAAAGTTCCCAGCTTAGCCCTGAGTGATGGACTGGGAGGTCCAGGGGCAGCTCCTGGTGAGAATTTTCACTGTTTTGAACCTGAGTCAGTTCTCTAAGCCTTCTGTCCCTCTGTGAGAGGTACATTGTCACCTTTGTGCCCACCCTCACAGCACCCCCTCTCCTATTCTCTCACACTGTTCTCTTATTTTGGGGTGGACATCATGAGGACAAGCACCCCAGAGAAGCTGCATGACTCGGATGAGAGGAAAGAGTTCTTAACTGTTGAGTGTTGGCCATAACCCCCACATTCGGGGTTGGCTCTCAGCTGAGGGTTTGCACAGCAGGTGTTCACTCTCCAGGTCCCCAGCTTGGACAGTGAACGTGGGACTCTTGTTCTGTTGTATTTATGATTCTGGCTCCCTGAGCCACCTTGTCTCGGAGGAGCACCATGACGCTCTTAAACTTCCCACCGTCCAGCTGCAGAGCTGGGCAGCTTTCTTGCATGAAATTCACTCAGGTGGTAACTCCTTAATAAGGAAAATACAGCTGACCCTTCAAAGGTACGGGTGTGAACTGCATGGGTCTACTTATATGCAGATTTTTTTTTCAGTAAATACTGGAAATGTACTTTCTCTTCCTTATGATCTTCTCAATAATTTTTTTTTCTCTAGCTTACACTATTATAAGAATATGGTATATACTACATATAACATAAAAAATGTGTGTTAATAAGTAGTTTATATTATTGATAAGGCTTCTGGTCAACAGTAGGCTATTAATAGTTACTGTGCAGATGTTCAGTTGCATGGGGGTTGATGCCCCTAACCCCTGCGTTGCTCAAGGGTCAACTGTACAATAAAATAGTCCTTCACTAAGTGTGATCCAGATAATGGGGATTCCAGGAAGAGCAAGGGAGTGAAGACACCTGGGATCTGACCATGCAGGTCTGCCCGATTGCTTGGAAGAATCCATTCACCCGACAGAGGTGCCTAAGCAGGCGCTGCTCTGAGACAGGAGTGCCTGGAGGCGATCCAGATTATGAGCAGGGGACTCTGGGTTGCTGGTTTCCATCTGTCTGTAAGTCGACCACAGTGAGTGAGTGAGCGAGCAAAACAAAGGAACGGCCCGCTTGAGAAGCTGCTGACAGGATGCAGCATTGTACTCAAAATGTTCTGTTTCCTTGAAATGTTGTTGTTTCTCCTGAACATTAACTACACGTTCTGGGATCAGCATTGGGCCACATATTCCCCACACACTCTCAGCTGAATACAGCATATGGCAAGCAGGGCAATAACCCCACCCTGGCACCACGCCCAGACTTGCCCAGGTCTTTATACCTACTGCCATCGCTGCCCAAGGCCATAGTCCCTCCCCAGAGCTAACCCGGGCTGGGCACTTCCTTCAAGTTCCACTGGTTCCTAACCAGCTGCAGTCCTGGCTCTTGTGGCTGGCTGTGCTGTTACACATTTTATAGACTCGGAATAAAAAGCCAGCTGTCACTTCTCACAGGCTGAAGAGGGAAGGGTGGTGATGGCCAAAGAAAACCTTGACCCTCGCCCACCCCACCCCTCCTTTTTACCTTTCCTATTGAAGTCTTTTGGTTCCTGGAATATTATTCCTTAGAAGTTCTGAACCCCTGGCTCATGATATCTGCTTTCTAAGAGGAGTGATTTACAGATTTCCTCCATGAAACAGCTGTATTTTATGAGGGCTTTCTAGGAGTTGTTTAAAAATTAGGTAGTAGTTCATTTATTGCCTTAAGTGACACCTACACTGTAACATCATGGCACATGCCATGCCAAGAAGGGGACTTGGAGTTGTAAATGGTATGTAATTCACAGTGTTGAAAACATAGGAACTCAGTAAAATATGTGACTGCCTGTTATTCCTATTAGTACGGCACAATTTTAAAGAATCTAAACTCATAATTAATAAAATGTAGAACACTCAACTTCCCGGAAGCTACAGTTCTGTTAACACAGAGGAGAAATGCAAGTAAAGCAGAATATCTAATCTGAGTGTTCTCTTTTGACAGTATCTGCTCATACGAGGTTTTCCTAAGTTTGCTTCTACTATATGGATTCACGGGCTTCCTTACAGCTCTATTGTTATATTTCTAAGAAATAAAAGGCTTTGCTCTTCAAGGAGGGAAATGGGGACCATTATCATAGAAAATGTAATTTTTGGAGTGACATAAGATATGACTGTATCACCCCCAAAAGACTCTGCTTTATTTTTCAGTCGACTAAGCAGTATGTTCCTGGTAAGTTGTAGAAACAGTAGTTAACTATATTAAATTGCATGAAAGCTTTGCATTTTTTCATGACAACATTATGCTGGTATTGGTGCTTAGTAAGCAGCACAAGAGACCGCCTGTTCGTAGACTTCAGCATGGAATGAGGGTGTTTAGTTATGTCAGAGGCATGTATGTTTTTTTATGTCTGAAATTGTCTTTGTGTATCTCTGTATATTTATTTTAAAAAGAGAGAGAGAAGTAACGGATAAAACCTATTTGACAGTAAATGTCCTGGCAAGCTAATTAGCCTCCATTATTAAGACATTCTTTTGAAATGAGATTTTTACTGGAATGCCATTTGATACAAAACAAAACCAAAAAACACATTTTTCTCTCGCTTAAGAAACTTCCCAGCCCTGGGAAACCCACAGAGCTGTGCCTGTAATGACTGCATTTGGAAAGGTTGTCCTCTAGTGGCCACACGTGGTCCTCTCCACTAAAACTTGTACGTTGCATCCGCCGCGGTTAGTATCTCTCTGCTGAGTACGGAATGGCTGAATACATCATAAATCAGCCTACACTTTTCTGAGTAAAGTAAATCTACCACTTGCAAAACTTTCTGTGGCAAATGATTGAGTCACTGTTCGCCTAGCGTAGCACAGAGTAGTAGCTTTGTAAGCTCTGCACTTCGCTGCATTTGCCCTGCGATGAGCTTGACGTTTCCTGCCGCTGCCCAGAGTGCAGATCGGGGAGGTACCTGTTTATTTTAGATCAGACCAACTAATGATAAAACTCAGGAGCACTGCGGCCCCAGCCTGCAGGTAGTTTGTAGAATTATACCACAGCTTTGCCAGAAAATGCTTAGTCCATTAGTCCACAGACTGTTTAGCTCAGGAGGGAAGCCCTCCATCCTTAGTAGCTACTGTCTCCTGCTGAGCTGGATTGCACTTAAAAATGCCAAAGTGTCATACGCTTGAGGATTTCGACACCTCATGCAGCTGTCGAGGACACAAAGAATAAAATACCTGCTCTTAACCACTTCTTCATAGAGCAGGCGTCTTTAAATCCATATGCTTTTTCTTTTGTGGTTTTTTTAAAGCTCGTTTGAACTGTGGGGGTATCTGTAGTTCTCTCAAGAAGACAGCAGCTTCATTTTTCCTCTGCTTTGTTCTTACAGACATGGTCTAGAGAATGAGAAACCTGGGGGGCTCTAGACACTGGCAGCGTGAGAGAGCAGAATATGACATGCTTGGAATTTCCACACCATAAGAAAAGCCTCATAAATATGGATGTGCATTCCCATAACATCATCCTCCAGCATTCCATATTATAACAAAATGGCCCAGTTTGAATGAATAAAATATAGTCCCTTTTAGCTCGCATTCCAGTCTCAACAGTAATGCCATTCATAGCCACAAGCGACATGGACTCACAGTGTAGGCACAACTTTACACTGTCCCCTCTGGTTATAATCGCAGTGTGTGTAAGGATCCATGGGGTTTTGGGGTGTGTTTTTTTTTTTAAGTGGAGGGAGTGGTAGTAGTTTCTCTCTCTGAAAACTCAAGGGCAGGCTCACCTCAGCAGTCTGTTTTTCAGTGATTGCTTGTATCAGTTTCTCTATAACAGTGCCTGAAAAATGGGCAGAAATAAAGTCACCAGGAAGCCACATTTATCCCTCTATTCAGTTCACACCATACGTGAGATTGCCAAGTAGGTTTTAGCAATAGCATTTTAATTGTCAATAAATCATGGAATGTGGTGACAGCCCAGCCTTCCAGTCAGCTGAAGGGAGCATTTGGAGCAGGACCCGCAGAGAAGGGGAAATGTGCAGGTGCAAGAGCTTGACCTCGAGAGCCTGAGGATCGGTCACCATGGCTTTGGACCCTAAGTCTCATTTCTGACAGCTGCAGGATGTGTCTGTGAAGACAGTCCTTAGTCTGGACAGAGAAATGTGCAGCCCTGTCTCTAAACAGTGGCCATCATTTCTTTGATGACCTGAGTCCTCCCTTCCTCCAGCCCCACTTCCTCCTCCTAGGTCCCCTAGCCACCAGCCTGAACTTACTTTCTCTGGAGGGCATTTAAGTCAGCTGCTTTGCAGAGATGCACAGTGTCATCCACAAAGGCGCCAGACAGCACGTGTTTCTTTAGACAGTATGAGCACGTCTGTGACATCGATCGGCCCTTTGATATCCAGGCCCATCGCCCCAGCAGCCTCGGCTCCGGCAGGTGGACAGCTCCTCCTGGGCCCTCGCTGCTCCAGCTCCATGCATGTCCTCGGGCCCCGCACCCTCCTCTCTGTCCCCTCTTCTGTAACCTTCTACTTCATTTCTTCACACTGCTCTTCCCATTCCCCAGCTTTGTGCCATGGGCCTTATTTCTCCCGTTCTCACTCGGTTGTGTTTGGTTTTTCATTTTCCCTTCCCTCTTCCATTGGTAGCCGTGACAGCCATCCCATCTTTGGGAGGCTGTGCTTACATTGTGCCACATTCTTTTTTGTCCCCTAAGTATCAGGGTGGACTGACACCAGTGTTCTAAACAGGACCCTAATGAAGTAAAATACAAGCACATTCCTTCTTTTTTGTGATGGTGGCAAAAATCCTAACTAAATGGCATTACGGTGTTAGGCCGGGTTCTCCTTGGAAGTTCATTGCAAAATTATTCCTTCCACCTTAAGTAGAAGGAATCCTCTCAGTTAATCATTCGGGAGCCTTAGAGGGCAGAGCCTGACAACTGGAGGTCTCCGTCTCAGGGGATTTAGAACAGTTTTCAGCTCTTGACCAACACGCCTAGAGAAGGGATGACTGGTATACCAAAGGCTGGGCTGGGAGTCCTGGACCCAGGAACCATTCCCACCCCTTCTGCCCAGGTTCCACCCCTTTCCCACTGGGCAGCAGAGTGAGACAGGCCTCACTCTGAGTGAGACTTTGTCACTGTGTCCTCTTGTCTAACTCCGTCGGCTGTTCTAACTGTGCCTGCTTATTGATCTGCTTAGAGTAGATACTAACTGCCGCTTCCTGCTAAACTTGTTTTTAGAAGATACCCTCTTTCAGCCGCCTCCCGGAAACCCTTTAAGGCTGTGTGAGCTGCACTTCACTGGCTGGCCTCCGGCTTTGATATGTGCACCTTTGGGGGGGCGGGTGTGTGGCAGGCTCAGGCTGAAACACCAGCAGGTCAAATACAAGCCCTTGTCTTCCTGTGCTCCTCACTTGGCATGCTGGGGTGCCGGGGTGCAGGGAGGGAAGTCTTAGGCTCATCTCTTTCATGTTTCTGAAATCTCACCATTTATCCTGCAAGGCTGAGGGGGAGCTGGGCGCAGGTGGGTGGGATTTGGTACCCTGAGTTCAGAGGGAGAAAGGGCATTCTTGGCCAGGAAACTTCAGTAAGGTGTAAAAATGCTACATCATGTTTTTATTCCTACCCCTATAAGAAGGAAGTGCGATGTCAGATTTATAAGAACCAGTGGAGTGCGATGAAAATAACACTGAATATGATTTTTAGAAGACCTGGATTCTAATTCCTTTGGGGCCACTCATTCTATCCATAAGCTTGGGCCAGTCACCTCTCCCTACTGGACCTCTGACTTTTTTGCAGAGTGAGGGGTTGGACTGTATGATTGCTAAGGTTCTTTGCAGATCTGCGGGATTAAATATTAACCCGATTAAAGATAATATCAGATAATGTACTCTTTTTTTTTTTTTTATGAGGCATAAAGGGACTATGAAACCCAAGAACTTAGATCTAGAGCAGCAGTTCTCAGCCGGAGGCGATTTTACCCCCTAGGGGACACTGGGCAGTATCTGGAGACAATTTTAGTTGTCTCAACTGGGGGAAGAGGGATTGCTGCTGTCGTCTAGTGTCCAGAGGCCATCGGTGCTGCTAAACATCCCGTCATGCACAGGGCAGCTCCCCACAACAAAGAACTGTCTGGCCCAGAAGGTCGTAGTGCCGAGGTAGAAACCCTGCTCTAGGACGAGGCAGTAAGTAGTCTGTACCCTCGATTCCGTGGTCTCACAGACTGCCTTTTCTCTGATTCCAAATACTACTTTTCTTCCTAATTTATACCCCCTGTTTTTCCACCCTTTCTCCCTACCTTGTTAGCCACCACCCACTGCTAAGCAGTCCCTCCTCGGTGCTTTTCTCCTGCCTACTTCTCTGTCCCTTCCCCACAGGGTGTCTTCTGACCCCTGGTTCATGGTGGGCAGCTACAGCAGGGCAAAGCGGAGGTCCTGGTGGCCGGACAGGAGTCTGCCCCTCCCATGGTTTCAGCATTGACCGTAGAAAGACATGCTGGCCCTGGGGCCTTCCTCACCTTGGCAGTGGTACCCACTGTGACCAGAACATGATGTTCAAGCTGGTGAGGGAGGTAGCTGGAGTGGAATTATTCCAAGGGAACGTGTCCAAAGGGGGCTGGTGGTTTCCCTTGTTGCAGCAATCACTAGTGTCTGGATTTCTCCCAGGGGTTCCTGCATTTCATGTAACCATTTTCCATACAATTTTTATACTTTTAAAACACTTTTTATATAAGTTAATTTATCCCAAGTTTTGGCTGAGAAATTGGGCTTTCTACCCCCTGGAAAATTGGGATCTCCATGAAAGAGGTGGCTGGGTGCAAAAGCTCATGGCTTGAAGGTGGGAAAGAAAAGGAGCGGAGGCTGGAAATGCATTCAGTTGTCGCAGGACTGCATCGTGTCGCTGGCATGGTGTTGGAGGGCGGCGTGCGCAGAACGTGCCTCAGCGCCTGCGAGACACGCGGGGAGCCTGGTGTGGTTGCTGTGAACTGCTTCACCGCTTCAGCACGTCTTTCTTCTGTTTCTCTCCAGCGGCAGTTGGGCAAGAACATCAAGTTTGGGCAGCCGCCACCCGGTGCCACTCCCATGAAGAAGGCAGACAGTGGAGAGGCTAGCTTAGAAGAGGAACCGTGCCTGACCAGTCCCATGGAAATTGTGACTCAGCAGGACATCATCCTCTCGGACGCTGAGAACAAAGTGAGGCTCCTCCAGGCAATGACGTGATTGCTAATAGCCCGGGAGGCTGCTGGGCAGTAGACGGGCAGCCAATGACCCTGGGGTCCGCAGCGTAGGGGGGAAGGAGGGGGGATCTTTGCTGATGAGTAGCCAGGGCGGGAGAGGACTTTGTGGGCAGGAGCCTTGACCTACAGTGGGACCACCGTGGAGGAGGGGGAGGAAGAGGAGACGTGACTTTTCCACGGCTCCTCCCAGTGTCTTCCACATACTCTGAGAGTCAGATTGACCCACTTCTTCCTGGAAGCCTTACCTGGCCTCACCCCAAGCCGCACTGTCTCCTCCCTCCCTTCAAGGTGTGTCCTTAGCACTTACTACATATCTGGAGCCCACCTGTATCTATGTCCACCTAACTGTTTTCTCTCCATCGCTGAGCTTTGAGTTCCTTGAGGACAAAGCTAGATCTTGTACATCTTTATCTCCCCAGGACTTTGCTAGTGATTACTTAGTAGCACAGAGTAATTATTTGTTGGTCTGGACTAATTTAAAGGGAAATAAGAAGAGAAAGAAGTAGTTCAACAAGATGGAATGTATCAAACAGACCAGGGTGACATTGACCTAGTGTGGAAAGAGAGTCACATTGGTCCAGCTCTGTCCTCTCTAGATTTGGTCTCTTGATACCGAAAAAAAGCACTGTAAGCATATCTGGAAATGAGAGTCTGGAAATGAGCAGCAGAAGGGACACCCCTGGGCTTCTTATGAAAAGAGGAGCTAGAGTAAGGAGTTCTCTGGGTAAGCCACTGAGTCTGCCTCTGTGCTCTGCCTACCAAGGTGGCCAAAATTGCGTTGAGTGTTATTAAAATGGGCATCCCCCCCACGGCAAAGCAGCCATGATTGTTATCAGCTAATATGTCCTGAGGATAGGAAGAAAGATGAGCAATTTGCAGAGCAAAGGAAAGGAGGAAAGAAAAGGACTGTCCCCACCCATTGCCCATCTCTGCCTGGGCCTGCCCTGATGGCTCCTGGCACTCACACCTGTAGGCAGTGGGTGATGCGGGGATGGGCCCATTCCTCCCCCATGGCCAGAAACACTCCCGAAGCCTCTCCAGTGCATCAGCAGGGGCCCTTAGCCTTGAGGCAGGGATTTCCCAAAGACTAGTGTCCACTGTTACTGACAACCTCACAGAGGCAAGGTGCTAAGGCCGGGGGGAGGAGGGTCACTTGTCTGTGGGTATCACAGAGATGAACAAGACTAGACAGGGGCTGCCCCAGGTAGTTTATATTGTAATGAGGAGAGTCAACAAATAGATAAATATAATAATTTCAGATCAAGAAAAATGGGAATAAAACAGGGTGATGGAAAAGTGAGTGACTTGTTGGGGAGAGGTGGAAAGAAGAGGTCAGAGCTGCCCGGCGAAGACCCGGGGGCGGGGCGTGTTCTAGGCAGAGGGAGGAGTGGGGCCTGTGCCCAGAGAAGGGCCTGAGCTTTCCTGAAGGAGGAGCAGGGCGGCCCATGGACTCTGGTGGAGGGGCCGCGGGAAGGGAGAGTGTGGCGGAGGGGCCGCATCGTGCAGCCCGTGGGGATGGGTGAATTCCACTCTGACATAGGAAGCCTCCGAGTACTCTGAAGCAGCGAAGGGACACGGTCTGATTTGTGTTTTCTAAAGATGCTTCTAAGTGTGGCGCAGAAAGCAGACTGAGGTAGGGCAGGCTGACCTTACCGCTCTGGAAGGGACAGCAGACCCTTCTGTAAATAATGGCGATACAAGATAGAAGGGGTAGCGGGCCATCTGAAAGGTGCAGGCGACAGCATTCCCAGGGCAGGCTGACGCGACCGGGGTGGGAATCTTCGCCGTTTTCTTCTCCTTCCTTCTTTCCTGAGCTGTTTCGCCGCCTCTGGTCATCGCCTTCTCGGCTCGGGCCTCTGCATGTGGCGCTGGTAGGGCCTTCCTTCCTTCTCATAGAGAAGAGGTCTGGCTCAGAGGTGGGAGGTTTGGCAGGTGAAGGGGTGGAAGGCAGCCAGCACAGCGAAAGCTGAGGTTGGAGCCCTGCCTCCCAGATGAGGTGGCTGTAGGGCAGCCCCCAGATCCTCTCAGCAGTGGGGAAACACACCCAGGACTGAGGTTGGAGACCGCCCAGCTGGGACCCGTGTTGGACTGGGCGGGGGGGGGTGCACACTCCATGCCTCAGGAGACCTGTGGAGTCTGGACATTAGCAGTGTCCCCACCGTGACTCCTGTCGGCCCTTTGAAGCCAGCTGCTCCCTCGGAGGGGGCGCAGATGGTGTCTGGTTAGCTCCCAAAACTTCCTGTTGTGGCCTGTGACTGAGCGCTCTCTTCACCCTTCCAGTCTACGGACACGCCGAGCTCTCCGAGTCCTCCGAGCCGGCCTGGAGCCAGAAGTGAGATGGAAGAGAAGGTACTGTGACTTGAGCTTGCATGCTTAGCTTCTTTACTTTTCCCTTCACCCCCCCCCCCAAATATTCTGCCTCATTTTCCCACTCATCAGTGCCGCCTTCACCCATTACTTTAAATTTCTTCAAAATGCAACCAGTGATAGGTAGTGGAGCGTCTGTTTCCATGGCAGTGCCAGTGCTGGAACTGAATCCTGCTCTGAAGAGGAGCCACCTGCCCTGCATGCCTGCGTTTGGAGCCCTAGACGTTGGTATTTTTAATAAGTGTATTATGTACTTCAGGACTCTGTTAAGTTGTTGAAAAAGACATTCCTGAAGGTACCCAAGTCTGTAAGGGAAAAAATATCCTTCTGTTTAGAGTAGAAATGCCCAAAAATGGACCCTATCTCTACTTCTATGTATTTTTGTTTTTTAACTTTTCTGTGTGCCGTTGAAACCTGGGCCTTCACCTGCAGGAGTCTGGGGAGCCCCGTGGAGCCTCTCGGGCACCTCTTCTGTAGAGGCCAGTCCACTCCCCTGAGGACTTGTCACCTGCGCAGGGTCCCAGGCACCCTCCCGGGCCTGGCAGACAGCACAGTGAGAGAGCAAGTCCTCGGCTCTTCTGAAGGAGACGGCCTAAAACAGGGCCACGGCACAGGCAGAGAAGGGGCCCCGCTGAGATAACTAGAAACAAAACTTGCACTTAACTCTCTGCCTCTGATGCTAACTTGTGTTCAGTCTGTCACAGCTGGTTTGAAGTCCTTCCTCTCATGCATCTGTTAGGTGATAGGAATAAATGTTTAATCCGTCTCTTTTCAACAATAGTTCAGGACTTGATACCATATTATAAAAATAACTATAAATGAATAAAAGCTAGGGGACCAAAGACAGGAATTATTTTTCCTTCTGTTTTTCTTGCCATAAATTATTATTTACTGAGCATCTCTTTTGCTCTTGGAGCTAGTTTGGTACTTCAGCTTTCATGCAAAATACGGAAGGTAATTGCAAAAGCAAAGCCCTCGTTGAAACCTCCCGCTGCACTTGGAGCTCAGCCACAGTCAGGTGAACCGCGCGCGGCCTCTGGGCCCTGTGCCTGAGCGCGGCTGGCTCAGGCGATGGGTAGGCGATGGGTGGGCTGTGGGCGCCCTCTGCCGCTCGTCGGTGGTGCGTGCGGTGTAGCCAGGAGCCCTTCCTTTGTTGCCTACTTGTAAATGCTCTGTAGTTACAGGTGTGGCTTCTGACTTCTGATTCACTGTGGCCTCTGGGTTCAGGCTGAGCCACACCCTCTGACCTAAGTCTGTACAGTTCATCTGAGGTCATGGTGCTTAAGTGATCACGTCTGTATCCAGACTGGAAGTTCATCCTTTGAAGAATTGCTCTGTCCCCAGCATGTGCCATGTTCCTGCTGCTTCCTTTAGCATCTCAGGGCCCTCAGTGCTCTGTGACCTAGGAGGGATAATGCTAAAACATTTTTCTGGGTTAGAAATTTCATGCCCTAGTTAGAGATGTTATACTATTGTTCCTTCACTCCTTCAACAAATATTTATTGAGCACTTGCCAAATGAGATTTGCTAGTTGGACATAAAGGGGACTGATACCAAGATGAAAATGACAGCTTGCCTGCTAGGGTAGGAGAGGAGGTGTGTTCACACGGTGTTGGAAGAAGTGGCAACGCTCTTAGAGTTACAGTTCTTTATCTAGAGATGAGCTTGTCCAGGGCTCAGCAAACCACTATTTATATTAGGCTTTGTGGCCAGAAGGTCCAACTACAGGACTCTGCATTCTGCTCAGTGATGATGGTCGTGACTGTGTACCAGCAAAACGTTACCAAAACAGGCTGCGGGCAGGATTCAGGTTTTGTCAACCCCTCATCTAATCTCCATATTATTCAGAGTAGGCAACTTAGGCCCTGAAAGGTTAACTAACCATTACAAGTTAATGCAATAGCATTAGCAGAACAAGTAGTAGTCAAAGTCCTGTCTTTTGATTCTGAAAGCATTGCTCATTTCAGTCCCAATGCACCCCCTCTGTTCCCCAGCATTCCCTGGGCCAGGCTAGGCAAGGTCCAGGCACCAAAAACTGCTTCCCTTCCCGGATTCCCTGCAGGTTGCTTTCTGATCCAGACTAATTGTATATCTTAATCTCCACCATAGGTAGCTCCAGCTAAACCGTCTCGGCCAAAAAGGCACTTCTCTTCCGCTGGCACCATTGAAAGTGTCAACCTAGATGCCATCCCCCTGGCCATTGCGCGCCTGGACAACAGTGCCGCCAAGCACAAACTGTCCGTTAAGCCAAAAAAAAACCAGAGGGTGTCAAAGAAGCACAGGCGACTTGGACTTGCCTGGGTACGTAGAGCCCATCCTGGCCGACCAGGCAGCTGCCCTTGCTTGCTGGGACCTAATTCTGCCATGCAGGCTGGTGGGGCGGTAGGCCTGTAGGAGGACTGAGGTCTCTCCCGTCAGGGACCGAGTGTGCTGCAGTGCAGACGGTGAGCAGGCTCATGTACATCACCCTGTCTGACGTGTTGCCTTGCAGAGCGGCTGCCGGACCTCAGAGAGAATGGCTGCCTTTCAAGGGGCTCCAGAAACTTTGCATCTGCTTTGCAGCAGAAAGGTGGCCCGGCCTTCCTCTGCCGTGGCTTAGCCAAGGGTCCTTCAGTTTGATGAGGGTGGATTTACTTCTAAGGCACAAGCTTCAAGGGACATAGATGAAGCGTAAATCTAATTTCTTCCCTTCTCTTTCTAATCCTGAGCTGTTGGTTTTCCTACGATTATTCATATTCAGAAAAAAGAATTTGAGAATGACAAATAAAGGGAGTAGGGAGTAAACATGAAGTCCTTCCCTTCACCCCCACAATTTATTCTTTGCCTGACAGCCTGAGTTTACCTATCTCTGTACTTAGAACTGTACCCCCCCCCCCTTTTTTTTTACTCATTAAACACATTTTTATTGAGCACCCACTAGAGACACCAGATGCTGATCTAGGTGCTGGTGATACAGCAGAATACAAAACATAAAAATCCCTGCCCTTACAGAGCTCCTGGAGTTTACATTTTAGTGAAATCAACATAACCCATGGAGAAAATGACCAAGTTTTGAGCAAGAAAAGCCCTCTTCTGAGCAGTAACTAAAGGGATTGCCTACTGTTTAAGTTAGAAAGAAGCAATGAAGAGCCTAAAGAGTCGCCTAAAAAGTCAGGACCCATGTCCAGAAAAGCAAAGGGCTCCTTTTGCCACAGTCCTAGGGCACAAGATCAATGCACATAAGAGCATTTAAAAGTCTGTCCCCAAACCAGGAGAACTGCCCCTTCTTTTTAGGTTACAAGCGCCACCTACGTTGTGACTAGGTTGAAGAATGGTTACCTGTGCAAAAGGAGGCTAATTCTGTTTCCTTTGCCAATGTTAGGATCGACCCAGTGAACAAGGTGGCCTTCCAAGTCAGCTGTCCCTGGACCAGAACGGACACCCTGGAGAAGACAAGCCAACGTGGCATGAAGAGGAGCCAGAGCCCCTGGACTCCGAGGAAGAGAAGAGATGCCAAGAAGAATACTGGCGGGAGCTGGAGGCCAAGTGCAAACGGCAGAAGGCTGAAGCTGCGGAGAGGAGACGCCTGGAAGAGCAGAGGCTACAGGCCCTGGAGAGGAGGCTTTGGGAAGAGAACAGAAGGCAGGAGCTCCTGGAGGAGGGGGAGGAAGGAGAGCCAGGGCTGGAGGCAGGAGGGAGGCAGCTCACCGAGGAAAGGCGGAGGCTGGAAGAGCAGGGTGGCCATGGCCCGGAGTGGAGGGGGCGGGAGGAAGGCAGGCACCCGGAGCAGGAGGCTGAGCGGCCAGAAGAGCTGGAGGCGCGGAGCAGGCCGGAGGCGGAGACACAGCGGCAGGAAGGAGAGGAAGGGGGGCTGAGGGCACGCAGGAGGCTGGAGGGGCTGGAGGAGCGGAGGCTGGAGGAGCTGGAGGAGCGGAGGCTGCAGGAAGAGAGGGAGCGGAGGCTGCAGGAGGAGGAGAGGGAGCGGAGGCTGCAGGAGGAGGCGAGGGAGCGGAGGCTGCAGGAAGAGAGGGAGCGGAGGCTGCAGGAAGAGGAGAGGGAGCGGAGGCTGCAGGAAGAGGAGAGGGAGCGGAGGCTGCAGGAGGAGGAGAGGGAGCGGAGGCTGCAGGAGGAGGAGAGGGAGCGGAGGCTGCAGGAGGAGGAGAGGGAGCGGAGGCTGCAGGAGGAGGAGAGGGAGCGGAGGCTGCAGGAGGAGGAGAGGGAGCGGAGGCTGCAGGAGGAGGAGAGGGAGCGGAGGCTGCAGGAGGAGGAGAGGGAGCGGAGGCTGCAGGAGGAGGAGAGGGAGCGGAGGCTGCAGGAGGAGGAGAGGGAGCGGAGGCTGCAGGAGGAGGAGAGGGAGCGGAGGCTGCAGGAGGAGGAGAGGGAGCGGAGGCTGCAGGAGGAGGAGAGGGAGCGGAGGCTGCAGGAAGAGAGGGAGCGGAGGCTGCAGGAGGAGGAGAGGGAGCTGAGGCTGCAGGAAGAGAGGGAGCGGAGGGTGCAGGAGGAGGAGAGGGAGCGGAGGGTGCAGGAGCTCAGGCAGCGTGGAGAGGAGGCAGCGGCGGCAAAGAGAAGGGAAGAGCTGGCGAAAAGGCAGGAGAAAATGGGGGCGCAGGGGCGGCGGGAGGCGGGCCGGGAGCCTCGGGAAGCCCCAGGAGTGGGAGAGGAGAGTCGGCCGGCGCCGGGGGGCAGGAGCCCTCTTCCTCCTCAGGCTGACCTCGCAGAGGAAGCTGAACGGGAGCACGTGGCGCCTGAGGAGCAGGGAGAAGACGCCGAGCAGCCCAGTGCTGGCCGGAAGCAGAGCCCAGAGGCTGAGCCGTCGGCAGAGCCGCAGGGGAAGCGCGGGGATGCCCAGCGGCAGGACGTTCGTGTGCGTGGGGAAAAGGGAGCCGAGGCCGGCACCCCGGGACCCCAGCAGCAAGGGGCGGCCGCGGCGCGGGACGGCGGCCGCGAGGGGGAGGAGCTCCGGTGGCGGGAGGTGGAGGAGAGGCAGACCATGCCCCGGCCCTACACTTTCCAGGTGTCCGGAGGGAAGCAGATTCTCTTCCCCAAAGTCAACCTGAGCCCGGTGACCCCGGCGAGAGATGCAGGGCCCGCCCCTGCTCCCCACGAGCCCAAAGCCCCCAGAGCGAGCCCTGCCCCGCACGCCCTGCCCGCCTCGCTGAGCATCCCGCACACGGCCATCCTGGTCACGGGCGCCCAGCTGTGCGGCCCCGCCGTCAACCTGAGCCAGATCAAGGACACGGCCTGCAAGTCCCTGCTGGGCTTGTCGGAGGAGAAGAAGCACGTGGACGGCCCCGCCCCGGAGAGCCCGCCCCG